ACATTATTGAACCGTCAAATCCAGATTATCTTATGTTATTAAATAGAATAACATTTCAAAAATGGTATATTCGTATCACCTTCATGATTCAACCAGATTATATTATTCGTGATGCTATTGCTTTGGTTGATAGTGGTGCAGATATGAATTGTATCCAGGAAGGCTTAGTTCCAACTAAATATTTTCAGAAAACAAGCCAGTCATTAACAAGCGCCAGTGGTAATAGTTTATATATTGATTATAAACTTCCAGAAGTATTAATATGTAACCAGGGACTATGTTTGAAAACTTCTTTTGTTCTTATCAAGAACATGGCCCAAAACATAATCCTAGGTACTCCTTTCCTACATCTGTTAATGCCCATAGAAAAAATTGATACTATTGGCATTCATGCAACCCTAGACGGTCAAAGGATTGTTTTTGAGTTTATTACTTCACCTCACAGTAAAGAATTAGATCATATATCTGATGATCTAGTTTCTTTAAAACAAAATCAAATTAATTTTCTTCGAAAAGAAATTAGTTTTTTAACTACAGAACAAAGAATACAGCAAACATCTTTTCAGCAGAAAATTAAATTGCTTGAAAAAGAATTCCAGGAAGAAATCTGCAGTGATGTTCCCAATGCCTTTTGGGATCGCAAGAAACATATTGTTTCCTTGCCCTATGAGCCCACTTTTGATGAAAGAAAAATTCCTACAAAAGCTCGTCCCAGTCAAATGAAAAAAGCATATATGGAATTATGTAAAGCTGAAATTAGTTCCCTTCTCCAGAAAAAATTAATTAGATCCAGTAGATCTCCTTGGAGTCAAACTGCCTTTTATGCTAATAAAAATGCAGAAATTGAAAGAGGTGTGTCAAGATTAGTAATTAATTATAAACCTCTTAATGAAGCCTTACGGTGGATCCGATATCCAGTTCCTAATAAAAAGGATCTTTTAGATTGCTTACAGGATGTAGTAATATTTTCCAAATTTGATATGAAGTCAGGATATTGGCAAGTTCAAATTGCAGAAAATGATAGATACAAAACTGTTTTTACAGTACCTTTTGGGCATTTTGAATGGAATGTTATGCCATTTGGATTAAAAAATGCACCATTGGAATTTCAGCATATTATGAATGATATTTTTAATCCATACACAGAATTTGCAATATGTTATATTGATGATGTCCTTATTTTTTCATTTTCAATAGACCAGCATATGAAACATCTTAACATATTTAAGCATGTCATTTCCCAAAATGGTCTTGTAGTTTCTGCTCCTAAAATGAAACTTTTCCAGACCACTGTTCGATTTTTAGGCCATAATATTCATAATGGAACCATTATCCCTATCAATCGAAGTATGGAATTTGCTTCTAAATTTCCAGATGAAATAAAAGATAAAACTCAACTACAGAGATTTTTGGGTAGTTTAAATTATATTCATGATTATTATCTTAATCTTGCTACTGAACCTCTTAATGAAGCCTTACGGTGGATCCGATATCCAGTTCCTAATAAAAAGGATCTTTTAGATCGCTTACAGGATGCAGTAATATTTTCCAAATTTGATATGAAGTCAGGATATTGGCAAGTTCAAATTGCAGAAAATGATAGATACCAAACTGCTTTTACAGTACCTTTTGGGCATTTTGAATGGAATGTTATGCCATTTGGATTAAAAAATGCACCATCGGAATTTCAGCATATTATGAATGATATTTTTAATCCATACACAGAATTATTAAAACAATTTAATCCAAAGACTAAAAAAGAAGAACTTTTGCGTTTTCATTCTGGTATTTGGCATGATGCAGCTAAAAGATATCTGACGATTAAAAAAGAATGTTTAGCCATTATAAAATGTGTCTTAAAATTCCAGGATGATTTACTAAATCAACATTTTTTAATTAGAGTAGATTGCTCTGCCGCCAAACAAATCTTTAAAAAAGATGTTGCTAATTTAGCCCATCGTCAAATTTTTGCTACTTGGCAATCAACCCTTTCTGTTTTTGATTTTGATATTGAATATATTAAAGGTGAAAATAATTCCCTTCCTGATTTTCTAACTCGAGAATATTTGCAGAAATCTCATGCAGGGTAGAAGCAGGGGCTCCGCCCGTCGGGGCCGTGACAGTCGTCTTCGTAAAAACCCACCTGTCTGGGGTCCTGAACATACTTCAGCCATCAAGAAAATCAAGGCTAGAGTTCAAACTCTCCCTTGTTTATGTTTACCTCATCCAGTAATCCCGGGGAATCTTCTAGCAAAACTGCTAAAGATGTCCTTCATGCTCCAGAAACATCTTATGTCTAGAATTCTATCAAAGAGGAAACTGTCCTTTACATTGATTCTGCCGATATTCAATGGATGGTTGATCCGTGGGAGATTAAACGTCGATATCTCGCCACTCAAAATGCACCCCCGCATTTTGACCAATACAGATATGCGTACGAACAGATTCTTACAGAACTTGCTTCGGTACAATTCCAGCATACTTTAGCTGATCCAAATCGGACTGCTAGTCCTATTAATTACAGTAAAGCTACTATTCAGACTATTATACCTATCCAGGCTTGGGGTATGCATCCCCATGTTACCAGAACTCTTGATATTCGTTCTAAAGAATCCAGATACAGTTATTGGGATTATATCGATGCTTTTTCTCAAGCTTTTTACTATATGAATCCTCCTTGCAGCCATTCTTGGTTTTTTCGTGTCCTTCCCGATGTCCTTAAAAATTATCTCCCCAATTGGTTTCTCATTTGGTGGGATAAATTCGGACTCCAAATTGATGCTTTTCCAGAACATATTAGACTTGCATTCAATGAATGGCAGTCCAGATTGATGCTTTTCCAGAACATATTAGACTTGCATTCAATGAATGGCATGTAACTTTCAGTCAAATTCCAGCTAACAAAGAAATTTCTATGTCCAAATGTATTGTTCATTTCGTCATCAGATTTGGAATTCCATGGATATGGAAGTGGGACTTCAAATGTGATTTCCAGAATAAAATTCCCAGATTAAAACGAATTTTCCTGTATAAATGGTGGCCTAAAATGGATGATCCAAAACCAAAGCAGGAATTGCTCCAGAAAATCAAAGAACATACTCAAGCTTGTTGGGATGCCTCTCCTAAGTCTATCCCAACTCCTCCAGTCAACCCTTTCATTCAAATCCAGCAAGGGCTCAGAAAACAATTTCCAAAATTATCAGAAACCGAGCTTGTTATTAAAAGCATGGATTATATGAAGCAACAATTTCTCCAATCCATTACTACTAAAGATTCCAGCATGAAATCAACATCCAGTACCCAGAGTGAGGATGATAGAACTCAGCCAGATCCTTACGAAGAAGAAAATGAATTTACAGTCTTAGCATGTGAGTCTCAAGACCCGACTGATGAACCGACCGACAATGAACCAAATTATGGAGATATTTGGGATTCGGTTACTAAAATGATTGCTGACAAGCTTATCCACGACAAAGGTAAAGGTAAAGGCAAGACATCATGATATCTTTATCCTACTCGCCAACTTTTGTCTGCCATTCCAACTTACCAACTTTACAGATGCACAACACGACAAGCAACTTTCGGTGTGACTAGTACAGATTAATCAACTTTGGACAAAAGCAGATTCCATTATCTGTTCTCTTTCCAGCTGTTCCATATTACCGACATAAGAAGATAAGGAGATAGGATGATCGACTGCAACCCCCATTCAGCACACGCCACCTGTCTTCGTTATCATTATTTTTGTAATATAAATAGGTAGCCTCTGGGTTGTGGAAGGCACCACTAAATTTTCTTTCAAGTTTTACATTCTGCTCTCTCTCCCTTCTATTTTTCAGTGTGTTTTCCTTGAGTTGTACAAGCTTAAAAGTATAATAAAAGTCTGCTGGTTTGGTTGTAAGTATTTCTTTCTTTTCTCTAATGCATGTCTGTTCATCAATTAGTTCTCCTAAATGATATATTAGAACTTTGGAAAAATAGAAAAATTAATACTGAATATTATATAAGAATTACTCATAGTAATGATCCTTGGGTTTTACAACAATTAGAAGAGTGTAATAATAAGATAAACGAAGTCCAGAATTTAATCAACGAGCAAATCTGGCTTTTGGCAAGGGCCACTAGGCCTCCTCCTCCAGCATACTCTAATGCATGTCTGTTTATCAATTAGTTCTCCTAAATGATATATTAGAACTTTGGAAAAATAGAAAAATTAATACTGAATATTATATAAGAATTACTCATAGTAATGATCCTTGGGTTTTACAACAATTAGAAGAGTGTAATAATAAGATAGACGAAGTCCAGAATTTAATCAACGAGCAAATCTGCCTTTTGGCAAGGGCCACTAGGCCTCCTCCTCCAGCACAGTAAACATATGGACCATATATGATGTAATTAATTATAAATAAAACAAAACTATTTTATATATTATTCCTGGGTTTGTGCCGTATGAGAGGTAGTATAGAGTGAGGTTGACTGGGACGTCACTCAAGTCGCGTAGCTCTGTTTGTCCGTCTTGTGGTTCACAATTAGGACTATCTGTAGCGTAAGCCGTTGACAGACGTGCTTAGCCTATACCCTGTGTCGAAGCACTCGTAATGGTATCAGAGCCAAGTTTAATGTATTTAGTAGTTTGTTTTATTCATTTTTAATTATCCATATATGGTCACATACAACCAAATGAGTACTGCACCTTCAGAGGAAAATACAGTAATTCCTACAGTAGCTGAAACAGAAGCCTCAACTTCAGAAGCCCGAGAGCTTGTTGCATACCAGGAAGTCAAAGAAGCTTTAGATAAGTGGACAATCCCGAAGGTAGATCCAAAGGCCATCTATATAATTGGTATCTCAAGTGAAACTTTTGCTCCGTTCTGAGTTTAATATCACTCTGGTGAAACCAGTGGAAAGAGAAAAAGCGAATTTTTTCATCAAATTCAATTTTGATGCTGAATCTGGTGCAATGTTGGAGATGGTCTTAGACATGATAATTAGATGAATTAGACACTCACACACATACCTTTGTGTACGTGAGTCAATGTAGCATAAAATGGAATAGAAAAGCAAAAGGGACTATACCTGAAGGACATGACTGCTGCAGCCAAAGACACACCAGAGATGGAGTTGAAGTTGGGAAGATGGGAGAGCACGAAGTGGACAGAGGCGAAAATCATGATGAAGAAAGTGAGCTTAATATTTTGGCAATCTTTGCACACCAAATCATGGAATTTCTTGAGTGACTTCCCTCCAGTAACCATACAGACTATGTTCACGCCAACCTCACAGACAAGCTGTTGGGGCACCACGATGTATAGACCAAGCTTTTCACCAAATGCGTGCTGGCCAAGCTCATGATACCTGTTGAAACGTTTTCCAGGTACCATCTCATGCATTTCAACCACTTGCCACAAGGTGTACAAAGTGACAACCCATGATATAACCAGCACAGCCACACCAGGACCCCTGAAAATCAAAAGAGTACAATTCAGTTACTTGACTGTAAAATTTCAAAAGTAAAAACAAAAATTTATTTTTTTATTGTTAATTTAAAGAAATTCATATGTCTCAGACTCTCAATTATTCAAAAATCTTAAAAAAGTTTCAGAAAACAAAAACTTCAACAGTGAAAATTTTGCAAAGTAGCCCTTTATAAGAGTGAATGGTCTAAAATGAACATTTTAACAACATCGTGCTTTATCAGACATATTCGGTTAGACCCCAGAACATATTAGACTTGCATTCAATGAATGGCAAGTAGCTTTCAGTCAAATTCCAGCTAACAAAGAAATTTCTATGTCCAAATGTATTGTTCATTTCGTCATCAGATTTGGAATTCCATGGATATGGAAGTGGGACTTCAAATGTGATTTCCAGAATAAAATTCCCAGACGAAAACGAATTTTCCTGTATAAATGGTGGCCTAAAATGGATGATCCAAAACCAAAGCAGGAATTGCTCCAGAAAATCAAAGAACATACTCAAGCTTGTTGGGATGCCTCTCCTAAGTCTATCCCAACTCCTCCAGTCAACCCTTTTATTCAAATCCAGCAAGGGCTCAGAAAACAATTTCCAGAATTATCAGAAACCGAGCTTGTTATTAAAAGCATGGATTATATGAAGCAACAATTTCTCCAATCCATTACTACTAAAGATTCCAGCATGAAATCAACATCCAGTACCCAGAGTGAGGATGATAGAACTCAGCCAGATCCTTACGAAGAAGAAAATGAATTTACAGTCTTAGCAGGTGAGTCTCAAGACCCGACTGATGAACCGACCGACAATGAACCAAATTATGGAGATATTTGGGATTCGGTTACTGAAATGATTGCTGACAAGCTTATCCACGACAAAGGTAAAGGTAAAGGCAAGACATCATGATATCTTTATCCTACTCGCCAACTTTTGTCTGCCATTCCAGCTTACCAACTTTACAGATGCACAACACGACAAGCAACTTTCGGTGTGACTAGTACAGATTAATCAACTTTGGACAAAAGCAGATTCCATTATCTGTTCTCTTTCCAGCTGTTCCATATTACCTACATAAGAAGATAAGGAGATAGGATGATCGACTGCAACCCCCATTCAGCACACGCCACCTGTCTTCGTTATCATTATTTTTGTAATATAAATAGGTAGCCTCTGGGTTGTAGAAGGCACCACTAAATTTTCTTTCAAGTTTTACATTCTGCTCTCTCTCCCTTCTATTTTTCAGTGTGTTTTCCTTGAGTTGTACAAGCTTAAAAGTATAATAAAAGTCTGCTGGTTTGGTTGTAAGTATTTCTTTCTTTTCTCTAATGCATGTCTGTTTATCAATTAGTTCTCCTAAATGATATATTAGAACTTTGGAAAAATAGAAAAATTAATACTGAATATTATATAAGAATTACTCATAGTAATGATCCTTGGGTTTTACAACAATTAGAAGAGTGTAATAATAAGATAGACGAAGTCCAGAATTTAATCAACGAACAAATCTACCTTTTGGCAAGGGCCACTAGGCCTCCTCCTCCAGCACAGTAAACATATGGACCATATATGATGTAATTAATTATAAATAAAACAAAACTATTTTATATATTATTCCTGGGTTTGTGCCGTATGAGAGGTAATAGAGTGAGGTTGAGTGGGACGTCACTCAAGTCGCATAGCTCTGTTTGTCCGTCTTGTGGTTCACAGTTAGGACTATCTGTAGCGTAAGTCGTTGACAGACGTGCTTAGCCTATACCCTGTGTCGAAGCACTCGTAATGGTATCAGAAAAATGGAGTTTATATTGATAACAAGGACTAAAAAAAAGAAGAACTTTTGCATTTTCATTCTGGTATTTTGCATGATGCAGCTAAAAGATATCCAACGATTAAAAAATAATGTTTAGCCATTATAAAATGCTTTTAAATTTTAATGTATTTATCAAAATATATATCAAAATATATTAATTCTTCACTCATGGCTATGGGATCGCAAGACGTGTTATACATTAAACTTGGCTCTGATACCAAAATTAATTCTTGTCAACAAGCATTTCTTCCTTTAATACATGGTTAACAACCGATGGAAAAGGATATATTTTGATATATATCCTAATCTCAGTTCGTAATGGTATCAGAACCAAGTTTAATGTATTTAGTAGTTTGTTTTATTCATTTTTAATTATCCATATATGGTCACATACAACCAAATGAGTACTGCACCTTCAGAGGAAAATACAGTAATTCCTACAGTATCAGAAATAGAAGCCTCAACTTCAGAAGCTCGAGAGCTTGTTGCATACCAGGAAGTCAAAGAAGATTTAGATAAGTGGACAATCCCGAAGGTAGATCCAAAGGCCATCTGTAAGATTGGCACTTTAAATTTTTTCAGTAAAAAAATTATTAAAACATTTGAACATGCAGCTCCAGTAAAAAATAATGATACTTTAATGTATTTACTTAATATCCAAGATCTTATACCGCTTTTTAAAGAATGCAAGTATATCCATATAGGCCTTGTCCATATTGCCTTAAAACCTTTAACTCTTTTAGGTCAAAATACCAGTATTCAATGTACTCTACGTGATGGTAGATGTACTAAATGGCAAGCATCTCTTATGGGTGCTATGGAAACCAGTCTAGCTCACGGTCCAGTATGTTTTGATATATATCCTAATCTCAGTATTGCTCTTTCTGATTAAAACCTATCCAAGGTTTTAGAATTCAGAATCCTTACTCATGGCTATGAGTATCTTCGAGGGTCTCCTCCATTTTCGGTAATATCCAGAATATATTTAAAGGTCTTATCCACTTTGAATCCTTATGTTAGGAAACAAAGTATCAATGGTCAGACTGTGTTTATAGACACTAATCTTTACAGTAGTCAAGTTGCCCTCCCCAAATTAATTGAATGGGAAAAAATTACTTTTCCAGAAAGGTGGAAAATAACTAATGCTGTCCCTCCTAGGCCAATTGTAAGACACAATTTGGATGATATTATACAGACTCATCAAGGTAATGTTTACCTTCAATTTCAGAAACCTCTAGTCCAACTATCCAGAAGTATGTCTAGTGCCAGTTTTAGAACCGCTCCTAGTCATCACCCTTATAAGGTAGAATATCCAGAATTGTCTCGACAATCATATTCAGAACCTCCTGATGCAATTTTTCAAGGAAGACCTTCTAGATCTTATTCTTATTCTAGACCTGCATCTGATGAGCCAACTGATCCAGATCAGGATCCTATAATTAGAGGAGTTCAATATTCTGAACAACAAATACCCCATGGGATCTATCAAGCTAGAGAATCCAGAAGAGGTCCATACAGCCCTACAGCCAGTGATATGAATTTTGAAATTTAAATGGATTTTACACCAGGTAGTGAAAATCGAAAAATCCTAAATCAGGATTTTTTCCAAGATAAATATACCGAATTTAGAAAATGGTATTTTTCTACTCATACTAAAAAACAGATACAGGATTATAAACTCCAGTATTATACCTATCTTGAGGAAATTCAAGTTTTATTTCCTTTTCCATTATGGTATGTTCAGCATGTCCAAATCCCGGCTGCCCAATTAAATGTTTTAGACAATATCCAGCAAAAATGGTTAACAACCGATGGCCAAGAAATTTATTCTGTCCATCCACCAACACAGCCTTTAGAATTACAGCCTACAGGTAATAATAATAAACCTATGGCGATAGCATCCTATACAGACATTTCCCATAAAAACCAGAATCGTGACCCAGTTCTTGTCCAAGATATTATTCCAGTTCTCAAACAAAATAATTATACTAATCTTTTCTGTCAAACTGCAGGCAAACAGCTTACTAGAATTGAAGAAATTGTAGCTCATGTTAAGAAAAGCTGCAAATTAGAATCAAAATCAAAATCCCCAGACATTGAACCGGTTTTGTTTAAACCAACTGCAGTATTAAAAGACTTTAAATTAAAATCCAAAGAAGAAACAGAATTTATGGATACCCTTCTTTCCAAAATCAAGGGTTTACTTATTAGTGAACCTTCTCCGACTTCTACGTCTCAAGTTCTTATGTTATCCAGTAATCATATTGGTTCTTCTGAAGAAACCTATGATTCCTTATCTCCTCAACAGATATTTGAAATTCAGCAAAATTTCCAACATGAACCTCCTTCTCTCAATCGGATTACTTATAGTAATACCACCCAGAAAACATCCATGACTTGTCCTAGCCGCTACTATTATCCTCGTCCTAGCCCCATGGATATTCTTTATGAAGAAGATTTTCTCCATACTCAACGTTGTTATCATAGCAACACCATTTATGAATGGAATCTTGAGGGTCTTTCTGAATACCAGATGTATGAACTTCTCCAGCACATGCTCATGTTTGCTACTGTTAGTAAACAAAATAATGATTCTGACCACCAAGTTGCCCGTTACCTCGTTAGCGGCTTTACTGGGATCCTGAAAGGATGGTGGGATAACATTCTCACCCCTAATATGAAAGAAGAAATCCTTTCATCCACCAAAACCGTTGTTGATGTAGATACACGTCTTGATCGCCAAGAAGAAGATGCTGTATATACATTAATCAACACTATTGTCACACATTTTGTTGGCAATATTACAGGAATTGAAGACCGTAGCAGAGAATTGCTTATGAAGCTTCGTTGCCCTTCTTTATCCCATTTTAGGTGGTATAAAGATGTTTTCCTGATGAAAGTCATGCATCGAACCGATGGCAGTGCAGAACATTGGAAAGCCAAATTTATTGATGGCCTTCCTACTCTTTTTGCAGAACGAGTTCGTAAGAAACTAAGAGACAGACATAACCAAATTTCCATTCCTTATTATCAATATACTTATGGCCAGCTTATAGGTATCATTACAGACGAAGGTCTTGCACTTTGCAATGATCTTAAACTCCAGCAACAAATTAAACAACAACATCTTACAGGAAGGAAAGAGTTAGGCGAATTTTGTGAACAATTTGCCTATGATCCTCAAATTCAGTATCCTACCAAGCAAAGAAGATATAAGAGTTATTCTAAACCATATAAGAAGTCCAGAAAATATAGAAATCCAAAATCCTCCAAAACTCACGCCCAGCCTCAAACCTCTAAACCGAGGTATAAATCCAAGGCAAAAGGAAAATCTTTCCAGAAAAATAAATCCTCTATAAAATGTTATAAATGCGGACAAATAGGTCATTATGCTAATAAGTGTAAAGCAAGATCCAATCTAAGCTTAATGAGTTAGCATTAAATGATGAGGTCCCGCAAAAGATTTTACAATTAATCTCTGAATCCAGTTCTTCAGCAGAAGACGATGCAGATGAACTTGCTGCTATTTATT